ATACCTGCCCAAGAGCAGCGGCTGCTTGCCCAAGTGATGTGACTTCACCTCAGCACTGCTCCCACATTTGGCATACGTGGCCTTTTTGACACATAAAAGTTTTGCTCCGAGCAAAACTGAGGGTCAGGGGATGCTTTAACTTCTCTGGACTCATTGGGAGTGGGAAGAATCTGGGTTACCGTGTAGGCACCATCAGGATGTATATACCATTTTGGTGAGCACTGGGCTGGAACAGGCACTGTAAGGATGTATATATCATTTTGGTGAGCATGGGGCTGGACATTTCCAGCCCATGCCTGACAAGAGGAAGGCTGTGTCGCTATCCCAGTATTTTTGCAGGGTGCTGGGAAACATCCCAGGGAAAGGGATCTGTTTTGTAGCATTTAATCCCATGTGTGGTTGCTGCAAGACTGCTGCCCGAGACCTTGACCCACAGTCTGCCCGAGCTCTCTCCCTCTTCTCCAGCTGGACCAAGCTCCCTTCTTCAGTCCCTGCTTCTTGCCTCAGCCTCAGTCCTGCCTTGGCTGCCCACTTCATCCCTTTGGCATCGTGAACGTCCGTCCCAAACCCCACAAAGTGCTCGGAAGCACAGGTTAGGGTCGATGCCCTCTCTTGCTGGAAAACACACTAGCAATGCCCGGCCCCCACTGCAGGGTTTGCAACATGAGCAGAAACAGAGATTTCTCTCCCCTGTCCCGCCCTCCGTTGCCAAACTGATGCCCAACCCCACTCTCCTCGGTGTCCTCCCTGCTGCCCCATCTACCAGACCTCCCATGGCTGGTGGCCACTTCAGCTGTTGTGTAGCCCTTTCTCTTGCCCCAGTCCCTGCCGATGCTCACTCTCCCTTTACACCAGGCTGCGACATGCTGGTGGTGGCTCTGCAGTCACCCGCCCTGGCCTGGTCACCAAGCCCTGTGATGGTGTGTCTTGGGGCTGCTCTGCTGCCCAGGAACCAGCTGTGTGCACCCCATACTGCCCGACTCCCCTGGGCCAGATCCTGCTCAGAAGAGTTCACACGTGAGGTCTTCTTAGGTGCTACAAGGGGTTTGAAAGGTTGTTTATCTAAACAAACAAATCATTAAGTGCAAAGGGCTCCTGTATGCTGCTTTGGGGGTCAGACCAGCAAGGTGGTGTGTGGTTATCACCAGCCCTAGGTGGTCACCAGCCCTAGCAATGCCCAGGTCAGATTTGACTGAGCATCTCACGAAACTGTGCCCTCCTTCATTCCTCATGGAGGAGAGAAGAAGTAGCTGAGTCTGCATCTTCTGGAAGACGCCAGTGATTTTTACCTCCAGTCAAGCAGGTGGATGCAGCTAGAGCTCTGAAGTTGAACCGTATGTAAGGAGATACGATAGCTCAGAGAAATGGGAGATCCTTCGTACAGCGTCTGCATCTCTGCTTAGCAGCGCCTGGTTTTGGTGAGCCATGTGGATAGAGGCAATTTTGAGGGCAGTGTTTGGGCAAATGTTGCTGGCTTCTTCCTGTCCTCCAGATCAAGTCCCTGTGTGCTGGAGCATTTAGGGTTTGACGCTTTAATCTCTTGTCTGTCTGGGTTAGTCTCAGGTCATTAACTTTTATTTTCCTGCTGTTCTGGCCGTGTGAATTCTGCAGTTTACGGTACTAAAAAAAAAAATCCCTGTGCAGCTGCTGAGTGCCCAGAGAGGCTGCCTGGCAGATTGTCTTAAACTGGAAATGCTCCAGAAGAGGAGCTTAACTGGGGCTTGTCCTCCGACAGCCACTTCTTACAGATTAGAGGGGTTGTAAAATATTGCTGAAATGGTCATTCCAATATTATGCTATTTTATTCTGCAGTTTGGAAGAGATTTGCTGGTTAGGCTGAAAATGGACAGTGGCGTGTGATCTGTGTGGGTGCTATTGAGGTATAGTGAAAGCTGTGAAGTGAAAGGGGTCTTAATTCATTCAGCCCCTACTATTTTTTTATATTGTAT